TTCCTTCCCATTCTCATCCCCAGGCTTCCCATTCTTCCGCTCAGAGAACATTTCACTGTGCCCCTGCATGTACTAGCAACTTTCATGAGCCTTGTCTTGGCTCAGACTTGTGCCCTCTGTTCAGATTGCTTCCTTTCCTTTTGTCACTGTTTTCTACAAAACTTAGATCAGATGATCCTCTCTTAAAATACCCTTATTTATGACATTGAGTTGAACTTCATGCCCTTGCCCAAGGGAACCTGGTCTAACTTCAGTGAACATATATTATTGCATCTCATCTTAATTTGTCTCACTTTATTATTTTTATTTCTTTGCCATTTTTTTTTGTGTACTGTGATTTGCAATGATGTTGATTGCACTTCTTATGCATACATAGTTCCAGCACCACACCGCCAAGAAAGGGCCTGCTTCTCTCTACCAGTGTCCCAAGGACCGTCCTATTAACTCAGCCCCCTGACCCCCAGGTGAGCACAGTTCTGTGGTCAAAAACTCCAGCTCTGATACCTTTGGCCATTTGTTGTTCCCTTACTGTTTTATCCCACATGAGAGACAGAGACAGAGATCGAGAGAGAGAGAGAGAGAGAGAGAGAGAGAGAGAGAGAGAGAGAGAGAGAGAGAGAGAAGAGAGAGAGAGAGAAATAGAGACACAGAGAGGGACAGAAAGAGAGGCCTTAATTTTCTAGGTTGTGACACCTGTACACATACAAATGAATGAATAAAATTAAACTCCTGAGGAGATGATTTTCAATAAAAGTATTGAGGCTAGAGAGATAGCACAGCGGGTAGGGCATTTGCCTTGCACACGGCCGACCTGGTGTTCGATTCCCAGCATCCCATCTGGTCCCCTGAGCACCGCCAGGAGTAACTCCTGAGTGCAGAGCCAGGAATTACCCCTGTGCATCACCAGGTGTGACCCAAAAAGAAAAAAAAAAGTATTGTGAACCACAAAACCTCAATCAACGAAAAGATGTGTTCTTAAAAAATTTAAAGAAAAAACATAAACTCCCCATATTCCACAAAGTTATAAATCAATGATGAACTGATTTTTTTCTAATTTTGTATCTCTTTTAAAAAAAGAGGTATACATGAAAAAATTAATACTATAGAACATTCTATGCTCATATATTTTAAAATTGAAATGACATAGAAAAACCTCACATGCATATAATTTAATAAGAATGAGGAGAGGAGATTTTAAAAAATCAAAAGAAAACCTGAATAGGCCTTTAAAAGGTTAAAAGTGTGTTTTAAAATAAATGTTGCATTTGTGGTAGAAAATATTATACATAACCCTTATCTGTATTGAGTAAATGTTCTCAGTGGATGTACAAATCACCTGAATAAACATTCAAATAACATTCAACTTAAATGAAAAATTAATACATTTAAATATATCTATATATAGATATATAGATATATAGATATATAGATATATCTCCAAGAATCTAAGTGATAGTACAATGGTAGGATGCTTGCGTTGAATGCAGCCTATGCAGATTTGATCTGTGGCACCCCATCTGGTCCTTTAAACAGTGCCATGAATGATCCCTGTTTGTAGAGCCAGGAATAAGCCCTAAGAACAGACAAACGTGGCTATATTTTAAATTTGTGCCTCCCCCCCAAATTTAAAATACAAATTCCTTACTACACTAGGTACAAGCAAACCTTTCTTGATTTAATAGAGGATAACCATAAGTGCCATGAGCAAATGCCATACTCAGTGGCAAAGTATTGAGTAGTGTGTTTTGTCTCTTAAACAAAAATCATTTAATCCTTCTTGCAAAACTGTTTTCAAGTCAGAAAGAAATTCCTAAGTTGTTGCTTGCCCATGAAGCTTTTATACTTCCTTCAAATCTGAATAATAATCTAGCTGGGGCTGGATAGAATATTGAATATTCTTGGAGAGATATTCATTTCATAGAGACTTTTTAAAAATTTTTACTATATTCCTCCTTGATCTTCTGGTCTGTAGGGTCTCATCTAATAGATATGCCATAAATCTTATAAATCTTATGGAGGGTCTTTAGTAAATTATTTTATTTATCTTGCTGCTTTCAATATTCTATCTCTGGCTTTTGTCATTGTTATTAAAATGTGTTTTAGAATTTTTTTATCTGGGTTTGTTTTCACTGTTACCATTCATGCTTCCTGATCATGGACCTTTTTTGTTCCTCTGCTCTGGGAAATACTTATCTATGACTTCTTTGATTGGTGATTCCCCAAGTTTGCATTGTTATTCCTTAAGAATTCTGATATTTCTTACATTTCCCCTCTTGAAAAAATGCAATCTTTTCCAGCTCCCCAATCTTTTCCTCTGCTTCCCAGGCCTTTGATTGAGTTTTTTATTTTGCCACCATATTCTTCTATCGCTTCTGATTGTAGTTTTTATACATGTTTGCTCTCATACTTTATTGAGTTTTTCCACCTCTCGGCTCACTAAAAACCTTCTAAGTAGTTTCTCTAAAGTCATTATCTGAGAGGTTGTGAGATAGTTGATACTGGTAGAACCTTCCATGTCATTATTTTTTATTCATTGAGCTTGAAGGACTTCTACTTAGTTTTCCCTATTGTGTTTGCTATGTTTTGAGGTTGAATCTTAGTAGTTTTTCTACTGAAGGTTTCTGAGATACTAAGTATTCTTCCATGCTACCACTCACACAGGACAAGTATAAGTGTATGTATCATGAGATGTGAATGAGTGGAGCTATCTTATGACTGCAGACGCAGCTTCATAGTTCAGAAAACAAGCACGTTGTGGATGTGGGCAAGGTTGAGTAAAAATCCAGAGTGCCTGAGATGTGGATGTGGGCCTGCGGAGATGGTGGATGTCCGACATAGAGACGGCCAGACCCCAGGTGGAATACAGGGGAATCCACTTCCCATTCCAAAAAAGGCCTATTGGTGTTGTCAGTTTGAAGGTTAACCACACTTGGAAGTTTGATAAAGCAGAGGGTGTGAGAGACAGATGTAGGCCTGCTGATATTGTTCTCTCACTTTTTCAATTACAGCTTCCATAAGGGTAGGGATAATATTCTTTATGTCTGTATGGCCCATCTAGGACAAGATGTAGAATGTAGGGCAGCAAGCAATAACAGCGATATTATTACTAATCACAATAACAGTTGCAATATAAATATTTAGCACATATGCAGCTCTCACAATGTAAAAATAATTATTCTAAGTTCTTCATCTAGGCTGTGGAATTTTATTCACAATTCTGTGGCTCATGTAATATTATTATTCCTGTTTTGAAAAGAAGAACCTTGAGTCATGGAACAGACCAGTTCCTTGACCAGAGTCTTAAATAATAAGTGCAAAAATAAGTACCTTTTAAAATTGGAACATGGGTCTGGAGTTCAACAGGCTGTGCACATGATTTTCATGCAGTAGGCATTAATTCCTGCCACAGGTTTAATTCCCTAAACACTGCCAGGAGAAACTCACAAGTATGAAGTCAGACATCCCCCCTAAGCAACACTGAGGTGGCCCTCAAATTAAATCAAAACATAAAATAAAATTGGAACGTGGTGAGACTCTGTGTCCCTTCTTAAAAAAAAGAAAAGAATGTTGGGTGACTAACAGAAAAGGCACTTTTTATTTTTACTGTTTCTTTCTTTCCTTATTTTTTCTTTCTTTCCTTCTTTCTTTCTTTCTTTCTTTCTTTCTTTTTTCTTATTTTTTTCTCTTTTTTGCTGATATGAAAAATTTGGAAAAAGTTATCACATAAATTTCCCAATTGATGATAAGGAGGTTGAGGAGAACACACGCTCCATTAGAATTCCTGCTTGTGCTAAAAGTGATGTATAAAATGAATGATTCTGTTTCTTTTCCTATAAGTATATTTGAAATCCATGAGTAAGAACATATGGCATATAAGAATTCTGTTAATCAAATCTGTTTTTGTGTAAATAAAATTATGTTCCATGGAAATGATTTGATTTTTGTTCTGTTTGCCTGTACATAAAAACTGGCTATTTGATAATAAATTTTAGTACAGGAGACTCCCTAGAAGTTTATGTACTTTTGTGCCTGTCAGTATTTCAGTATGTCTTCAAAGGTACTGTAAGTTAAATGTCATTGTTTACAGATGAGATCATACCGAAGGAAGGGAATTTTTAAAAATTTCATTGTGAAAATTATTTTGTCTTTGCTTTCATTCTCACTTTTATCATGGAAAGGGAGAAACCTTTCCCATGGAGTATTGATGTTCAGGAACCAGTCAGATAAATATCTGATAACAGGCTGTTATTACAAACAGTGTGCTTTCATGCATGTTACCTTTCCTATATTACAAGTTCTCATCTTGAAAATGGAGACAATAATACTTCCTATTTTGAAACTTGCCATAATAATTTAATAAAGATCTTGGCCAGTTTCAAGACTTGAAATCCTGCAATTTCAAAGCGTCCTTTGCTCAGAAGGTACCATGTTCTTCTTACTGGTTTTTCAACCATTACTCAATGTTACTGAGTTGAAAATATTTTTTTACAATGTGTCCCACATGTTTATGGGCCAGGGAAATCTATGAAGTTATTCATGGATAAGATTATTTGTGAGCTTTAAAGAACACAGGGCCTGCTGGTAATAGCCCTTCATAAAATGTCACCTATTACTAATTTTGCAGAGGATCTTTCAGCTGTTGGCTATAAACTCTGATTCCTATTATCTGAAACCTTTCAATCTCGAATCTAATGGTATAGCAAATCTCATATGTCCTCATGCATTCAGTTAACACTTCACTGCATTAGGGCAGCTTGATTTAATTCTTTGCTTTCTCTCTGGTTGTACAGAATATGGAGAATGTTGTTGAGAGCTGTTAATTTGAAATACAGAAGTATATCTTTATAAATATGAGCTACATTGACGAGTAATGGACATTAAATTTCTTGTTTTCTCAGTTCAAGGATATGGTTTATTTTCTCATCAATTTAGCTAACACACCATCACACTGACATTTGGAAGGAATCTAATAGCTTTTTTTTTCTCTTTTTATTTCACAGACTATTTGAACTCCAGAAGGACCAACACCAGATAAATTATGAATGTTGAACAAGATGACCTTACATCCACAGCAGATAATGATAGGTCCTAGGTTTAACAGGGCCCTATTTGACCCCCTGCTTGTGGTGCTGCTGGCTCTTCAACTTCTCGTGGTGGCTGGTCTGGTGCGGGCTCAAACTTGCCCTTCAGTCTGCTCCTGCAGCAACCAGTTCAGCAAGGTGATCTGCGTCCGCAAAAACCTGCGTGAGGTTCCAGATGGCATCTCTACCAATACGCGGCTGCTGAACCTCCATGAGAACCAAATCCAGATCATCAAAGTGAACAGCTTCAAGCACTTGAGACACCTGGAAATCTTACAGCTGAGTAGGAATCACATCAGAACCATTGAAATCGGAGCCTTCAATGGTCTGGCAAACCTCAACACGCTAGAACTCTTTGACAATCGTCTTACTACCATCCCAAATGGAGCTTTTGTATATTTGTCTAAACTGAAGGAGCTCTGGTTGCGAAACAACCCTATTGAAAGCATCCCTTCTTATGCTTTTAACAGAATCCCTTCTTTGCGCCGACTAGACTTAGGGGAGTTGAAAAGGCTTTCGTACATCTCAGAAGGTGCCTTCGAAGGTCTGTCGAACTTGAGGTATTTGAACCTTGCCATGTGCAATCTCCGGGAAATCCCTAACCTCACACCACTCATAAAGTTGGATGAGCTGGATCTTTCTGGGAATCACTTATCTGCGATCAGACCTGGTTCTTTCCAGGGATTGATGCACCTTCAAAAACTGTGGATGATACAGTCCCAGATTCAAGTGATTGAGCGGAATGCCTTTGATAACCTTCAGTCACTCGTGGAGATAAACCTGGCACACAACAATCTAACATTACTGCCTCACGACCTCTTCACACCCTTGCACCACCTAGAGCGGATACACTTACATCACAACCCGTGGAACTGTAACTGTGACATCCTGTGGCTCAGTTGGTGGATAAAAGACATGGCACCCTCCAATACGGCTTGTTGTGCCCGGTGTAACACTCCTCCCAATCTGAAAGGGAGGTACATTGGGGAGCTGGACCAGAATTATTTCACATGCTATGCTCCTGTGATTGTGGAGCCCCCCGCTGACCTCAATGTCACTGAAGGAATGGCTGCTGAGCTGAAATGCCGGGCTTCCACGTCCCTGACCTCTGTATCCTGGATTACTCCAAATGGGACTGTCATGACGCATGGGGCATACAAAGTGCGGATAGCTGTGCTCAGCGATGGCACGTTAAATTTCACGAATGTAACTGTGCAAGATACAGGCATGTACACGTGTATGGTGAGTAATTCTGTTGGAAATACCACTGCTTCCGCCACCCTGAATGTTACCGCAGCGACCACTACTCCCTTCTCTTACTTTTCAACAGTGACAGTAGAGACTATGGAACCTTCTCAGGATGAGGCACGGACCACAGATAATAATGTGGGCCCTACACCAGTGATCGACTGGGAGACCACCAATGTGACCACCTCTCTTATGCCACAGAGCACAAGGTCAACAGAAAAAACATTCACCACCCCGGTGACTGATATAAACAGTGGGATCCCAGGAATTGATGAGGTCATGAAGACGACCAAAATCATCATTGGCTGTTTCGTGGCCATCACACTCATGGCAGCTGTGATGCTGGTCATTTTCTACAAAATGAGGAAGCAGCACCATCGACAAAACCACCATGCGCCAACAAGGACTGTTGAGATCATTAATGTGGATGATGAGATTACAGGAGACACGCCCATGGAAAGTCACCTGCCCATGCCTGCTATTGAACATGAGCACCTAAATCACTATAACTCTTACAAATCTCCCTTCAACCACACAACAACAGTTAACACAATAAATTCAATACACAGTTCAGTGCATGAACCGTTATTGATTCGAATGAACTCTAAAGACAATGTACAAGAGACTCAAATTTAAAACATTTACATAATTACAGAAAATAATCAAAAAAAGACAGTTTATTAAAAATGACACGGATGACTGGGCTAAATCTACTGTTTCAAAAAAAGTGTCTTTACAAAAAATCAAAAAAGAAAAGAAATTTATTTATTAAAAATTCTATTGTGATCTAAAGCAGACAAATTAATGTGTATTCCTCAGAACCTGTTTTTGCTGCACTTACTTACTATTTTCCCACATCTCGTCCCTGCCTTCCCCAATTGCCATATTTTTCATAGGAGATCTCAATTCCTTAAAGAACTGGTATAGGAAATTTTGTAAGAATTCTGTTACACTTTGAGATTTTTATGGTGAATTCGTGGTGAGATCGGTCTATTTTGTCTTCCTTTCTCTATTTTTTTTCCTTTTTTGCTTTTCTTCCTCCATGCCCTTATGAAGTAATCCAATGGGGAATGCAATATTAGAAATAGATTTTTAGAGAGAAGGAGGAAAAATGCAAGATCTTATATTTTTCATGTAATGACCTGTTCTGTATTTATGAGGAGGACCATTCTATGGAAAGGGGGTAAAACGTAAGCAAACAACAGATTAATTTACATATGAGCATCTATAAAACCCATGATCTTTTAAACAACTCTAGAACCAGAATTTGTAGTTTAAAAAAACTAAAAATAAGATTATAAATAAAATATTGTTGGTTTTTCTGTACCTGGACACAACTCATTTGTAGTTTGGCTCAAATGTGAGAATCTTGGAATTAGCTAAATTTCTATTCTCTAAGAACGTATATGCAATCCTTCAGTCATAGCATCCATCTCCATGGAATCCTGTTTTATTAGCTGATTTACTTTTGGGAACTATAGTCAAAGATGCTATGGCATGTCTCCGTCTACTTAGGCCCATTCTCTGTAAAATACTCAGTTTAAAAATGAGTGATTCTGTAAATTTTATTTGGAAGAGAGTTTTGATATAATTCATTAACTGCCTCAAATAAGTTCTACTGATGGCTAGATAAAGTGCAGCCATAGAATGTAAAGGTATCATAAATTAACCAACTGGGGGAAAAAAAGTTCCATATGTATGCCAACAAATTCAGTTCTATTTTATAAGAATCATTAGCTACCTACTAGGTGTATTTAAATGCTTGTTTGAGCAGTTTGGGTACATAACTGACAAGAATGGTCCCTGCTCTTGAAACACATATTATCTACATGCAACATGATTGACGCAAACTTAGTTTATTTTTGGAGGACAACTTCAATTTTACTGTCAGGTAATGACTACAGATCGGATTCCAAAATACCAGGTTGCATACTACAGAGCCTCTTTGATCAATAGTTTCTTCTTGTTCTGGAAGTCTCTTCCAAATGTACTGTGTAGAGCTACAAAAAAAAAGGGGAGGGGATATGGATTTCCTGTGAAGGATGATGGTATGCCTGAAGATGGCAATGCTTATTTATGGAATAGGGTAAAATTTTAGTCCTAAAAAATATGCTGGCTTCTAAGTGAAAAAACAAACAAACCAAAAAATAAGAATCCTGAGGGCCAGAGAGATAGGATTTGGCACTTGCCTTGCATGTGGCCTATCTGGGTTCAGTCCCAGACACTCATATGACCCTGAGCCTGTCAAGAGTGATTTCTTGGTGCAGCACAAGAAGTAAACCCTGATAAAGAACCAGGTGTGCCCCCCCACCCCCCGCAACAAACAACCACAGAAAAGAACTTGTTCATTACTGGCAATTTAGCACTTTCTTGATATTTCAATATGTTGTATATATAACACATACTTATCCAGATGAACCAAAGTGAAAACTATGCCTCTTCCTGTTGACTCTTACAATCTGCCATCTCATTAGTGAAACAGGGACAACCTAGAGGATATGTTACATCTTAAAAGATGATCATCTTTGATACTTGCATTTAAAACTGTAGGTTGGACCCTACCATGTTTTGTGATCTCCAGGTGTGAAAAACTAATCATAGCTAGTAAAGAAGCCAAGAGCAGTGTGAAGAATGGATAGCAGCTAAATGATATTACATGGGTCTTGCTTCTATTTTCCAATCATCAATTCTCTAGTATCCCTTTTCTCCTCACTTCCTATCTCTTTTTGTCAGCAACACAATTCACATTTGCTTTCATTTGCGGAGAATCTGTGACAAAAGGGAAATATATATTTTAACTGTTATTTCTCAACTTCTTTATTATCAAGTGTACTTAAGGTACTCCTAAGCTACAGATTACACAAAAACAAAACACAAGAAATATCTCTTTACGGGTGAGTGAGTATTAGTTAAAAGAAAAGTGGTAAAAGTCACGAGAGAAGAAAAGAATATTGCCTTTATCTGTTTTCCGTTCACCTCTGGTTTTGTTTTGATTTTTGTTTGTTTCTTTATTTTGAGCATCTAATTATTTATGGGATGAGATCCTATGGACAATTCCTGTTGACTATGAAGAGTGACTAAACAGACAAATTCTAATAAATGAGATAAAAATGATCTTTAACTAAAAAAAAGTACTACTAGTATAAATACTAGTAGAAACTAATACAGTTCATTTCCATAGGAGGTTAGAGCTGCCGTATTAAAAACATTAGAAGAAAATTAAGATTTGCTAGGCTAAACTTGATCTTACAGTAAATTTAGAAACTCTTTTGACAAATGGCCCTCCATACAGGTTTTGTAATTGTATGGTGTTTGGCTATTAATGTATTATTTAGATGATGCTAAAATTATTATCTAGAATTTATAAGCAGTGACTGTTTGTGGTTTGAGAGTCCTTCTTACAATCACTGGACTTGATTTATGTTAGAGAGGAACACACATTATCTACTTATTGTTTGAGAATATTGTCCCATATGATTGTTTATTTACCCGAATAGGGACTGGAGCCATAGTATTGCGGGTCAGGTGTTTGCCTTGCAGGCGGCCAACCTGGATTCGGTTCCCAGCATTCCTTTTGCTCCCCCAAGCACCACCAGGAGTATTTCCTCAGTGCAAAGCCAGGAGTAACCCTTGTGCATCGCTGGGTGTGACCTAAAAAGCAAAACAAACAAACAAACAAATAAATACCCAGATACAGGACCAGAACTTTCGCATAGAGGTTAAGGCACTTGTCCTTGCATATGGTTAAGCCTTACAGGGATGGTCCCCAAGTACCATATGGTCTGATCCAAACACATTCCCAATTAAAAGAAAAAACCTGATACAGACTAGCGCAAGAAAAAAACTATGTATATAATTATTTTATCCTATTCTATTAAAAGACAATCAAATGACAGTACTTGTAAATAGTTATGTGCATTCAAATAGAACATTTACAATTAATCAACTAAAAATATCCTAATAGAAATTTTAGTTTATGTATTCTTTACTAGAGATATACAGTTTGTTTAAGGAAAATATCAATTATATTTTACAAAAAATTCTCTATTTTTTTTTCTGATCAGAATTCTTACTCTTATACCCTGGGTTATCACATTTTTCTCCTAAATTCTTCCAAATGTACCCAAATATATTTGCTTTATCAAAAATGAAAAGAATGTGGTTCAGCTCTTAAACACAGAATCTGATATCGTTTTAAATATTTTCTTTGATACTACAAATATTCTGAATTAAATATCTTTTGCAAAGATTTTGAAAAAGCTTGATACATAAACTTGATACATATATATGGATACACACATACAGATGTGTGTCTCTATGGGTGGATGTTGCTTTTCCATGATTACTATTAGATCTTATAATCAGAGAGTTTTAAAAAATATTATAAGTAATTAAATATACAGTTGCTATAAAAGATCTTGAAAATAGGCGAGTTATTTACATGGCAACAATAAAAGAATTAATGTGTTCTATAGCAACTTTTTTCTCTAAAAATAAAAGAGAAATGCAAAAGAATTAAAATTTATTTCAAATGAAATTTTCCATTCAGAAAATGAAAGCAGAGAGAGCAAAAGTGCAGATGTAGGTTGTGATACAGGCATCAGGGAACATCTCTGGAGCAACTTTCACTGAAAAATGTAAAAAGTATTATATGAAGATTCAATATTTTAATGAATTTATCAGTCAAGTTTCCAGATTAATGCTGATCAAGGTGAAATAATCCAAACAACACTGATCATTATATCATTTGGGTAATAATCTTTATAATAATTAGATATATAGGCAAGCTTAATGAGTATATATGAACACAGTGTGGCGATTTAATGCAATGTTATGTTTACATAGTGTGTTAATTTGGTACTCCTGCTTACTTAAAATTACTAATTAGGAAGTTGAACATAATGATATTATTAATATTTCATTTTTTCTTTTAAAATTCTCCAGTATACATTGCACCTCTTACAAAAATATCTGTGCCTAAGTCTTATGAATGCATTATTTGACTAGAATGTGACCACCATTTCAAACAAAAATGGTTTCTAATGGTTTACTTAAAAATACTTCTTATTTTTAAACTATTCCATACAAAGAAATACACATTTCTGAAAGCTCTATATTAGATATAGATAAACCATGTCACCATTGCCTTTTCGAGCTCTATCAGGTAACAAAATAAAATATATCTAGTTGTATGAAAAAAAAAAAAGAAATCACCTAGGATCACTCAAAGATCCACATATAAAATACTGATGTGTGCATATGACTACACAAACCAGTTCTTGTCATTTTGTGTCTTCACAGGCTGACAACAGAACTTTTGCTATTTTAGTATTCTTAAAATTGAAAAATAGGTTAAAATTATATATGAAAATACAAATTTATTTTTATAAGTGATGAACACAAAGCATGTGAAACAACTTTTTTTTAACTTTATGCCCATGAGAAATAGAAAAAAAATGAGGGAAGGAAATTGCTGCGATAGACAATAAATGAAGCTATCTTAATGAGAAAGTGCATGATATTGGAAAAGTCCTTCCATTTTGTAAAGTCTATTATGCACAGTAAATGAGCATATTTATATATCCCATGTGTGAAATACAAACCCATGAAGTCTTAATGTTCAGTATTTGGTCCACTAATTTAATTTCATTTTCCAGTTTATTAATGTTGCACTTTATTATATATTTTGTGCAAAACCGATAAATTTTAACTTGCCCAAATAGAATCAATACTGCTTTTATTTGGCTTACAGAAGTAGTGAGTATATATGTCTTATGTTTCAGAAACAAGGGAACATTGATTGTTGTCTGAAAGAAAAGGACTTTCCTCTGAGGTGGAAATAGAATTCATTCTGATTTATAAGCCCTGACCCTGAGACTTCACAGAACATGACTAAACTCCACCCTAGAATATCTTGATGAGAACCTAGCATATCATTTATACTAGCATGTTTGTCAGTAAGGCTCCTCTGTGACAATCAAAGAAACTCCTTACTTCTCGTCTTTTAAACTCATATTAAAGGAGGGAAAATTTAAGTAAAATTCAACAATTTCCACTTAGTAACAGTTGCTAGTTTTGCAAAGTATATAGATTTCTAAATAAAATAAATTAAGCCTGAATCCAACAAAATGTACTAAAAATAATTTATGCTATATTTTATGGTATGAGCTTTCTTATGCTAGTTACTAAAAATTAAATTATTTGTAATACTAGAAGGAAATTATAGATATTTTTATTAATGAACTCATTAAGCCAGAAAAATTAACCTTAATACGATTTGTAAAATGTCCCAAACCTTAAGGATGAAGTGGACATTTAGATTTTAA